GAACTAACTTATGCTTTTCTTTTCCATGCTTGAATTTCAAGATGCTTTAAATCCTTATCTATTTCATCTATCCATATAAGCCGGGATCTGCCTTTGGGACGCTTTTCTCTTGGTTTTCGATGGTTCACCTTTTTCGCTCTTCTGTCATTTGGCATTTTTTTTTAAAGTATCCAGAACAGCGTAGCCTGCCCCCTTTTGTATTTCTCCTACTAGCCTGTGATCATGATATAGACTATACACATCCCAGTTGGTTCGTATTCTCCATCCATATTTATCCTTTGTTGGTGTCGCGTATGGGAGTCATTTTTGTTTTCATATGCGATATGAGCCAATGTTGTTTTTTTTTAACTTTCTTTCAAATTTTTACTAGGTATAGGTAGTATTTTAATAATAATTTTTATAACGAAAAATGCAAATAATATTAAAGTTATTTGATAATTTTTATGTTGGCTATAAAGGCATCCACCAAATGGTTGACTAACATTTTTGAATGATGGATAATAAAAGTGATGGGTGTCGCTGGAGAAAAAATCTATGTAATTTCTAACTATTGAGTGTTTTTTTTAATACATTACCTTGCATTCGATAATGTGATTATGAAAAAATTGCAAAGAATCCATAAGTATTTGTTTCAAGAAAACGTTTCTTGATCTACTTGTGCTTTTTATGAAATTCAAATAAATAATGTTAAATTCTCAGATTTTGAGACATCCTACGTCATATTTATATATCAAAAAGGAAAGATGAATTGGAAATATTTGCAAGGAAGGGACGTAATAGTTGGTACATCTTCGGAGTTAAATAAAACAATCAACCTTAGTTCCACCAGTTACAAGGGAATTAGATTAGAGTTGGAGAAGTTTAATACTGGTAAGTCTTTTTTTACAATGCGTTTTCCACATCTTAATTAAAAGCAATGTCCTAAAAAAATGTAGACTTTATTATATAATTGGCTTATACTAAATTAAGCAGGCATTTCCACAATAAAATTAAAATTTATTCGTCAGATTATGAAGGAGTTCGGTTTTATCACTTGGGAGAAAGTAGCAACGAAATTACAAAGTGTCAAGAATATCTCTGCACATATTCAGGACTTTTGAATGATGACAAGTATCAGTATGAAATAAATCATCTTTACAAGTGTCCTTGTTCACTGGAAAGACTTGGACACCAATGGCAGCTTTTTTCAAATAGATCTAACAGTAACGGAGAAAATATTCACTGTTTTGCGATTAGTAACGTAGGCAAAGCTCGTTTGATTCCACCACAATATTATAGAAACAAGGTAAGGAAGCTACGTATAAATATTTATTTATTTAAAAATTATTGTATTTACTAAATATGAATTAGTAAATAAATTTTTAAGTTAAGTATTTAAAATAAATGTACAGTATTTTTACCTATTTTTTTTCAATAGCCTTGCCTTTAAAAGATTTTCATTTTAGGAACTACTAATTTATAATTAATAGTAACAAAACAGTTTAATTGAATTTCAATTACTTTAAAATTAAGTTTAAATAATTAAGATAAATTAAAGTGTTTGCACTAAAGATGAGGTGTAATTTTACTAATTAACTTTCATATTCTTGAGGATCTTTATTAAGTAAATAGTTAATTATCTATATCATAAAGTTCATTAAATCAATATTTGTTAAACCTAATTATAGAAATTCATCTATAAAGCTATATATATATATATATATATATATATATATATATATATATTTATTTATTTATTTATTTATTTATACTAGCCAATATACCCGCCGTTGCCCGGGATTGCATTTGGATAAACAACTTCTACACCCTTTAAATTTACATTGATATTATGCACCATGTAAAAAAAAACAACACCCCTGTAGTTAAAAATAATAATGATTCCTTTCTCTCCTATAAAAACACATTTATAATATATTTGCCAGAGAGAACCCATAGGATCCCTTTACCAGATAGGATGCCATTTCCCGATTTTAATCCGGTACCCGGAAGGATCCCGACCCCATTTGGATCATTATCTCAATCCCGTTGCCGTTGGTATCCTTATATCGTCGATATTCCGATACCGGTGGAATGCCGATTCCGTCAGTATTCCGATCCCGATTGTTTCCCGATTCCGGTGGGTTCACGATCCCGATTGGATACCGTCGCTGGTGAGATGCCGATACCGATTGGTTCCGGATTCCGGCTGGTTTCTGATCCCGTGGGTTCCACATCCTGTCGCTATCCAAATCCGTGTGGATCCATTCACTATTGAAGACCGATCCCATTGGAATCACGTTTTCTGGTGGGATCAAGATCCCGGTGGGATCAAGATTACGATGGGATCTCGACACTTTTGGGATCCCGAATAAAAAATTACTCATTGGTATTAGTAGAAAGGTATACTGTGGGACAGGATAAAAATGAATAGAACTAAACTAACATTTCAATAATCTCTTAAATCCCATTATATATCCCCTTGGAGCAATTGAGATGTTTCTGTAACATTCTAGATTAAATTTAATAACCTGCTGGAAACATGTGTAAAACTACTTTTATAATTTTTTTTTTCTAATACGATAAAAATCTTAAAACAAATGCCTTAATTATAATCCTTTTTCTTTTAAGTTAATCGAGGGGCCATAGATATAGCTTTTTGTAATCATAGAAATTTCTGGAAAACTCTATTTCGGCGCTGCGTGGATTGGATATTATAAATTTTAAATCCACCATTTTTCAATATGTACAATGGATATATGCTACCAAGCTAGGCATATATCCAATAATTCACATAGAAACTGTAGTGTTGTCTAAGCTCAATATTTATAAAGCTTATATAAGGAAAAATGAAATGGGGTCCCTGGCTTCAGAGGAATGGGTGGTATTATTTCATTATTTTACCGTATATGCATGGGGATAATGAAGTGTATCTGTACTAAGCTTGGTCAAGATACATCATTCATGTGGGGGTATTAGTTGATAATTTTATTTATATAGCTCAAATAAGGGGAAAAGCTAATTTGGGGCCCCAGGACCATAACGAAATGTTATAAAAAGTTCATATCATCCTAAAGAATTCCTTGCGGATAATTATTGAGACATGTCAAGATTCATCAATCCATGTAAAAGCCGTTTTGGAAAAAACAAACAAACAAACAAAGCGACAAATTTTCACTTATATATCTATATATATATGATATATATTATAATAAATGATATACCGGTGTATATATATTTACAGTTATGCTGCTACATGTGGGTAAAACCAGACATTTCTGATGACTGGGAAGCTTGGGTACAAAGTCAAAGAGACTCTGTTTACATCAGGGATTCACCTGACACTGGGCATTTTCTGATAAATGACCCATGGACATGGTCTTCTTTTAATAATAATGAAGCCTTGGAAAATATTGAAGCTCACCAATGGTGTTGTGCCAACATCAATGATCCACTGTGTCAAAAGTTTTATCAGATTTTTCCTGCAGACAACTGTTCTGACTTTCCTGCATTTCTTACAGGTAAATAATTTTTTTTAATGATTTAATAATAAACTTCTATTATATTTTGTTTTCAAAGCAAAAATTTTATTGAAAATTGTTAGATGTACAATGTTCCTATATTTTAGGCAATATCAATCTCTGTAAAGTAAATATCTTAACTGAGCTCTTAAAAAGTGAGATTCGACATTAAGACGACAATTTTTAAAAGCAACATCTTGAAAATAGTTTATAGGTCTCGGTGCTGAAACACCTTAATGTCGAAAAACTTGTCTAACGGTCAAGTCAAAGTTCGCTGACCAAACATATGAAATAAATCGTTTATAACTTTAAGAAAATCGGGATCGACAACAAATTTCGAAACTTAAGAGTTTTACTCTTTAAGAATTTATTATATTCCCACAAAACTTGCAAAGTTAATTTCCAGCGCAGACAAATTAAACGGCTGAAGTACTAAGGGACCAAAGGGTAGAAAAAGTAACATCGATATGTTAGGTAAATAATATTTACAAAAAAAAAAAACTCTAAATAAAAAAGGGCGCAAAAAAAAAGGTCAGTAACATATCTTTGCAGTGTGTATGAACACCATTTGTTGGACGAGGTTTGAAAATCTTTTTTTACTCAAAAGTTACCAGGTATATTTAGGCCCCCTCATACCAGATAAGTAAATGTTTTGAGTACGCAGTGCCTGGGTGTTTCTCAGTTCTCCAACTCGTAGTATGAAACACCGAAATTGAATTTAAGTTGACGGTAGCAAAGTTTATATTTCCTTCACGGGAAAAGCCAATCATAAGGATGCTTTATATATTAGGCCTACTTGGTGAAAAATTATAAAACTTTTCTAAATAATTCCCATTGCTTCAATTCAACTGTTGTCAGTAATTATTTTGTAACATTAAGTTTTTGTGTGTTCAAATTTTTTTCAGTCTGATTTAATGAAAATCGCATTACTGAAGTCTTAAAGTCTTCTTTTATTTTAAAATCCTTAGTAAATTATAAACTTAGGTTTCTATTCTATGAAAACCTAATAGCAGGTATAAATAATAGTTTATCTTTTCTTTCTATTTTGTCTTTTAATGATGATTAATCTTTTTATTTTCATTACTACTTGTATATACAAGGTTTCAAATTGCAAGCAAATTATATCATTATTTTCGATTACAGGCATTTATATTTTCTAAATAATTTTTTACACATCTAATGCAAATCAAATTACCCTAAATAAAAACTTAAAACTATCAACACCCATAACATGAGATCATACTTGATGTAAAAATATATTAGCGAATTCTTCTCGTCGTTAGCTATTTTTAATTTATAAACCATGGTGCATGGTCTCTGTTGAGCACTGTACAGGGGCCACAAACGCTTATTTCTATTAACGATACTTCAATTTTTAGCATTAATTTCATGTGTTAGAATTGAAAAGATGCCAAGTGCATTTTTCTTTTAAAAAATGTGATGGGTGTCAACAAAAATAAGTGTTAAATAGTAGTAGCATTTCAAACTGTTATTTCCATTATAGATATCAATGAATGCACTGATCTAAATGCCAACATGACATGTGATCTACGTGTGGAGAATTGCTACAACACACAAGGCAGCTACAAATGTAATTGCAAAGAGGGATATTCGCGAAATACCTCCAACATTTGTGAAGGTAGAAGAAAATAGAATACATGTATATCAAACGTTTAAAGTATTTTTAAAACAAAGTAATCTACTTAGTGGGGTTAATTTCTTTAAAATTGATATATCTTCAGAAGGCAGGGCTCATGTTTAACTGAAGTAAAATATTAATTGTAAACCTAAGATTTTTATAGTTTTTTTCCTATTGGTTTAAAAAGCGTGGTAAAATAAGAGATATAATATAAAATCTTTGTAAATGAATATTTTTTTCACAAATTAAAATATATTTTTTTAAAATTCATAGTTTAATTTAATTGTGGACTTATCAAATTGAAATAGAATACACACATAAAGTCTTTTGATTTAAGGGATTATTTTAATTTTCATAAAGATATAGATGAATGCCAACTTCATATTGATGGATGTCAACAAATGTGTCACAACATTGAAGGTCATTACAATTGTGAATGTGATGCAGGATATGTGCTTGACAGTGACAGGAAACAATGCTTGAAAAGTACGAAAGTAGATGACTTTGCAGATTAAGGAATTAGAACATCCTCCCCAAAAATAAGATTTGTTAACCAATAAAGAGGAGTATCAAAAGTCCCTCTTTAAAAAATGTATCTTGGATACAACTAGCTTTTCCAAAAATTTACTAAAAGTATAATGAAATGCCTCACCATAATTCAGAGCTGTTACATTTATTTTTTTATTTTATTATTTATATTCAAACTATACCGTTATCTGGACTTTGTTTCTAAGAATAAGTTAATCCTTTCATAGATTTATATTCTCATTCGTTGTTTAAAGTAAAACATTCAAATATAGTTTTGACTGGATGTGCACTGAAGACTTGCTCTCACACTTGTTTTGTGCTTGATGGCAATGCACAGTGTGCCTGTCCCGGGGGTCTTGAACTTGATGAGCTTGGGACAACTTGTGTTGGTAAAAATAGTTTGCTTTTTTCCTTTTTAATACGCCCTAGGTATTTCGTTAATTTATCATGTTCAAAATTATTTAATATCTGATTTGATGGAATTCTCATTATTACAATCTCCCAATGTCTTTTTTTTTTAAATTTTACTTTAAAATAGCCTCAGTAATTTGTTTCGCCAAAACTTAAAAATAAAACTTAAATTTCTTTGAAAGAAAAAAGTAGGTATAAATAACTGATTACATTTTTGTTTTAATTTAATTTCGAAGTATTTTCAAAACAATTTTTAGTCTTTTTAACATCACTACTAATTTTAATTGCGGATATTATAATTTTTTTAATCACAAGGACAAAACATAATTTCGCATTAAATAGGGGCGTACACATCTTCTAAATTCAATTTTTTAAAACAATTTACAATTAAAATCATATCGATTCTAACTACGAAGGAAAAAAACAACCTGTTTTATAAACTAAGACATCTATTTTTAAATTGAAATTGCAGTACCTTATTATTCGTATGGTGATGACGCGAAAGATGAGCGTCTGATAGATGGTGCTGATAAGCAAGTCACGCTCAACTCAGTACTTCCTTATTCCCAGAAATTGCTAAGAACCATAACAGTAAGATTTCATTTTAAGCTTTTAGATTTTTCCATTCGTACTGCACCGTACATAAAAATTGCTCTTATAAATTTATCACATTATAATGTCGTGTAAATCAAAATACATATTGTAAATACAGAACTTGAAAATGCAAAAAGTTTCAGTTCAACATTTGTGGTTTTGAAAAAATCATGGACATGAGCAGGGGTCTCAAACTCATATCATCCGCGGGCCGCAGGAGGTAGAGTCTGAATGAGATAGGAACGCATCAAGTACCCTATTCCATCGAAAAAAAAGCGATTACATACAAATTCAATAGATTACAACTGTTACAATCTGATCAGCCTTTATAAATAACAATAAAAACATTAAGGGATCTCAAGAACTAGTCTCTCTTTCTTCCTTTTACTCCTTGTTGCCAGAGACCTGGCAGCGCTTCTTTTTACACAGCTGAGCATCATTTGGTTTGAGTGAGGAAGCAACTGAGATTCTCAGTATAGCTTGAAGATGCTCATCAGTAAATTTGGCCCTGAACTTTGACTTGTTAAAATTGACAGGGGAAAAGAGCTTTTCACACAGATAGGTAGTTCCAAAAAGTCATATCATCCCATTGAACAAACTGGAAGTCTCAGGAAAGGTGGAAGGCAATGCTCTCATAAAATGTCCATGCTTCTCTGCTTTTCCCTTCACCTCCATGAACTTACAATTAAAATTGCAGTTAAGATCAATCAGCTCCATTTGAGGTTAATTGACCCAAAAAAAAGGGGGGGGGCATGGGCGCCAGCAGAATACTTTCTAGGGGGGGGGCACAAAAATCGATTTATTATCGGGGGGGGGGGCAGATAGATCGATTTACTTTCTAGGGGTGGGGGGGGGGAATACCCAAAAAAAAGGGGGGGGGCATGGGCGCCAGCAGAATACTTTCTAGGGGGGGGGCACAAAAATCGATTTATTATCGGGGGGGGGGGCAGATGGATCGATTTACTTTCTAGGGGTGGGGGGGGGGAAATTTTTAGCAATGTTTTAATGTAGATTTAATTTACTGTAGCGTATTTGTATGGTGAACGAACGGACAGGACATCAGCTTAGTTACTTTCTCTTTATATTCTCTTTACACTAATAATTTTTGTGTCTATTTTGTTTAAATTTTTTTTATCCAATAAATCCAGGGGGGCAAATGCCCCCCTTGCCCACCCCCTGCGGGCGCCCATGAGGTGGCATCTTCCACATTCTAGGATATAGGGTCAGCGAAAATTTGAAAAGTGTTTCTGTGTGCTTTGCTTTCTGCAAACATGTGATCAAATTCTTACTCTAGCTTTGCAATGGCATCAGTATACTTACTACTGAGTGGTGTGCCCGAGTCCATGAGTACTTTGCATGTTGGTAAATGGCAGAGGTTTCTGTGAGAACCATAACACAATTTTTGTGCAGAATGCCTGGCATTGTCAACGGCAAAGTTGACAAGCTGCCCCTGGTCTTGTAACTTCTAGCTGAGTACATTCAGCTCATGTGCAATGTCAACAAGAAAAGCAAAGTCCGTGAGCCATTTGCAATAACTTAGTACAGAAACAACCACCGCATCCTTCTCCGAGAAGGCTATAAATGCTAAAACGTTTTCAAACAGTAGACAGGAGCAGGCAATATATATATATATATATATATATATATATATATATATATATATATATATACATGTCTTATTGATGCGAAGGAAGATGCTATTGTAGGAATAGAGAGAATGAATTTTGATTTTTATATTAATTGTAGAAATGGCTTGTTTGACTAACCATTATTGGAAAGTCACTAAACTGACAGGCCCTGAATCCCCTCACTCGAAAATTCTAGCGGAGATGTTAATAGGGATTCTTTGATGATGTGTCAGATTGCTACGATTTACACAATTATGGTTGTACATTACCCACTAACTGACATTTTAAACTTTTCTCTAAACCGCACTTTACTAGGTTTATCTCATAAAATCCTATAAATTAAAAACTTTTATTCCGATTTTAAAACGACGATTTTACCGTTATAATCATCGTCCTAATCTATACAACCTAATTAAAATTAGAATAAGACTAGTCGGTGAGACTCGATTGAAACCGTCAGGGGGGTTGGGGTCACATTATAGATACGAGAATGGGAAAAACATGCGGGCCGCCTTAACACTAAACTTTGTTTGTCATGTAGCGTGCCACAAAACATCGTCTTGCGGGCCGCTAATGTCCCGCGGTCCGCGAGTTTGAGACCCCTGGACATGAGTATTATATTTTATTGTTTAATGCATATAAATTTCTAAAATTACGTCAAATTTATATGAAATAAAAAACAACATAAAATGTACTTTTGAACAGTTTATTAAATATTCGGGTGCACTTTTTTAAAAAAAGGACAAAACGATCCCCGATAAATCAACCCCGAAATATCGACTCTGACAAAATGGCCCCAGACAAATGGGTCCAGTCTATAAGGACCGGGACACAGAGATACCGTTGAATAAGGGCCCATCAAGAAGGCACCCATCGATATGGTCATGTCACTATGGCTTCCAAAACAGGTCCACCATCAAAAGGGGTCCCATCAAAAGGGCCCCTTTAACTAAGGCCCAGACAAATGTGTAAACGTGATTTAAGCCATACAAATGAAGGCTTTCTGTAAAAGATTGTGACAGGCCGTTCAAGGCCAACTAGTTTTATAATGATGAATAAGTTAAAATTTGTTAAAAAAATTATGATTTGTTATCAATTAATTTTGAGTTACTGTATCAATTAATTATCTACTTTTTGCCAATAAAATGTTGTGAATTATTTAGGGACTATTTGTACTGCTGTTTATTGAATTCCAACCAAGTGTGTCATGTGACCTAATAATAAATGAATAAAAAATTATTCTAAATGTTTATATAAATTATAAACTATTTCCTAACACGCCATCTTATTGAAAAGGTTTAAGTTTCGATAAATTAATGTGCTTTTCTGAAATCATTCAGTTCGCCACTTAGAAATCAATTTTTTAGAAATAAAAAAATAATTAATTTAATAAAGATCACACAAATTATACACATTTCCAAAACTCATCCCCTCAGTGGTTCGAGGACTTGGCTGATGCAGCCATCTGTCACAGCCCTCTTATCTGATGTCCTTTTGTTGGGTGATCCTTAATCTTGTGGTGGGCCGTGCTTTTTGTCAGGAGCCTTTTAAGGGCCTTTTTGACGGGTGCACGTTTTCGGGGGACCTATTCATGGAGGCTCCTTTGTCGCAGGCCGAATTTTCAGGGCTGACTTATCCGGGCATGATTGGCCAATTTGACGTGCTTCCTGAAAGGTGTCAATATTTAATATTGATCAATTTCTATTCTAATACAGTTTCCATTAATGTTGCATCCTCAGGTGACGTATCACGGAGTGATTTATTTAGACATAGTTAATCATAACCGTTGGGAGCAAAATGCTTTACCCCAAACACAATTTGATCAGATGACTTTCATAGCGCCTTATTGGACTAGAATGAATCTGTCTGCTGGTATGTTGTGTTTAATTTAATTAATTTTGTCTTTATTAATCTTACTTACTTTAGTTTAATTTCACAATTCTTAACTTTTTGTTGTGCACTGTTTACTGTCAAAAGTGTGCGGAATTATTTTTTGTTTAATTTTGAATGCATATTTTTAAACACATTTTTTGTCGTATTTATTTTCAATTATAAGAATTTTTAAAGTAGTTTTTGTAATAGCCAGGATACATGGAAAAGCCTGGTATTTGCACACCCAATACATACCCTTCATAAAATTGAAATCGGTCCAGATATTTAAAAAATAGTTATTTCTAATTTTCTATAATACGTTCCACCCAATGGAGTGAAATGCAATGTGCATGTAAGTGCCAGTACATCTTTTTATTAAAAAAATAATGTTTGCACATTTTACATGACTTCAATAAAGAATAATTATGGATAATTTACTAGCGAGTGGTGCGAACCTAAATGTAAGCTAAGTGAAATTAAAGTTATTAAAATAATAGCGTTCTCGATGCGAATATTGTGCAATTATTTGTCTTAGCACGATGCATATTTTAGTTATGCCCATAGTCATAGCACTTTCTATTTCCCAAATAATATTTCATTTCATAAAATTAAGATACTGGGTAAGCAATGTTTGTGTATGTGAGTTTGTGTGTGCTTGGATTATATCTATGTAAGGTCGTAAGTTTCAATAGTAAATAGTAATGTAATATAACACTCATTTAATAAGTGAAGGAAGTGGATTAACTGTTGGAATGAAAGGATGGTATCAATATGTTGAAGCTATAAATATTTATTAAAATAATATGAGTTGTTTTGGTGTAAAGTGAAGCACCTCTACGTGTTTAATTTTTATTTAACTAATGGGCAGTAGGTCACCTAAAAAATTGCAGGT